CAGAGGTCATTCACAGGCCATTCTCAGGCCTGGGAGTTTCTCCTGAGGAGGTCACGGGGCACTTTAACCCCCTGACCTCAGACTCAAAGGCAGCAGAGACAAAAATTCATAAACTAGCCTCTACGACAAACTCCCTATCCCCGGGTCCTCGTCCCTTTGGCCAACTTCTACACAGACTTTTCTCTGAGTCTCCCACTCAACATTTCAGGACCTTCAGTTTACATCTGGTGCTTAGATGTGTGTGTTTGGATGATAGGGTGTGAAATTAAAACCCAGACCAGAACCTAGGAGTGTAGCCTCTCCCTGGTGGTGAAGAGAATTTGCACAGCTAGAACTGTGGTGTGGATTTTGATTTTTTGATGTGAGGAGCAGGGAGATCAGAGCGAAAAGAATGGAAAAACTGTCTCTCTCCATCCAGCTCCACCTTCCCACGACAGTAGTAGCTGAGTGGCAGTTAGCAAGCTTCATGTGAGGAACCTCACTGAAACTGGAGAAGCTGGAATAAGAATTCGACCAAGACCATTTGGGGCCATTCAGCACAAGGGCAGATTATACCTAACTTTATGGGTATGTAAGGAGGACCAAATAAAACAATACTAGTGGGGCTTCCCTGGTGGTGCAGTGGTTGAGAGTCTGCCTGCCGATGCACGGGACACGAGTTTGTGCCCCGGTCCAGGGAGATCCCACATGCCGCGGAGCGGCTGGGCCCGTGAGAAAAAAAACAAAAACAAAAACAATACTAGTGATGGCTAATGTTTAGTAAGCCCTTAATATAGACACTGTGCTAAGCGCTTAACATGCATTATTTCATTCAATTATTACAACAACCCTAAGAGGTAAATACTAGCAGAATTCCCATTTTACAAATGAGGACGTTGAAGCTCATAAAAGTTAACAAATTAGCATAGACTCACAGGGCTAATAGCGGTGGAGTTGTCTGATTTCTGACCATGTTCTTCGTCCCTGAACTGTTTTCCTCATCTGGCAAATCAGCAGATCACCTGGCCCACAGTCCTCGGCAAAACTCAGTTCTCTCCCCCAAACCCACCGCTCAGTAGCACTAAGGATATTGCTGAATCTCAATACAAGTCATATAGAAATTGCTGGAGAGTTTGACCTTCTTGATTCAATCTCATGAAATTTCACTCCTCAGAACTTGACAGTTTATTTTTTCTGTAAATTTATTTATTTACTTATATTTATTTTTGGTTGCATTGGGTCTTCGTTGCTGCACGCAGGCTTTCTCTAGTTGCGACGAGCGGGGCCTACTCTTTGTTGCGGTGCACGGGCTTCTCATCGTGGTGGCTTCTCTTGTTGCGGAGCACGGGCTCTAGGTGTGCGGGCTTCAGTAGTTGTGGCATGCAGGCTCAGTAGTTGTGGCTTGCCGGCTCTAGAGCGCAGGCTCAGTAATTGTGGCGCACGGGCTTAGTTGCTCTGTGGCATGTGGGATCTTCCCGGACCAGGGCTCCAACCCGTGTCCCTTGCATTGGCAGGCAGATTCTTTTTTTTTTTTTTTTTTTTTTTTTTTTTGCGTGTGCCTCTCAGTGCTGTGGTCTCTCCCATTGTGGAGCACAGGCTCTGGACGCGCAGGCTCAGGGGCCATGGCTCACAGGCCCAGCTGCTCCGCGGCATGTGGGATCTTCCCAGACCGGGGCACGAACCCGTGTCCCCTGCATCAGCAGGCGGACTCTCAACCACTGCGCCACCAGGGAAGCCCTGGCAGGCAGATTCTTAACCACTGTGCCACCAGGGAAGTCCAGAACCTGACAGTTTAAAGAGATGGGGAAGGTGCAAAACCAAGTGTATCTATTAGGCCGTATGGCCCAGTGATTAAGAGCTTGGATTTTGATGCCTAAACTCCAGTTTTGCCAAATTCCTTATGGTGAGAGCTTGATCAACTCACTTCTCTATGGCTCTGTTTCCTCATACATAAAATGAGGCTAATACCACCTGACCTCATGGGCTTACTGTGACCAGCAAATGAGATGAGGCATGTAAAGCTCTGAGCACAGTCTGGGGCACACAGTAAGGGCCCAATAAATGTTGGCTATTACGATGATGATAATACCGTTTTCCATGCAGCTATGGCCAGGGACATCTGGCTGTGATCTGGCTGTGATAGAAGTGAGATTCCTACTGACTTCCTAGGTCCCAAGTACAGAGTATAGGCCTCTCCTGTCCCTCTGTCACTTTGCAGGCCCAGGGGTAAGTGCTGCCCCAGAACAAAAAGGGGGCAGACGAAGGTCCCCACAAGGCCAAGACATAGAGTTGGAATCCATCAATTGACATTTCAAGAGCCCAGTAGTCTTCTTGAAGAAGGGCAAGCAGGGGAGCTGTATCAGGACACATGCTGGCAAGGGGCTTGGGGACTGCTGAGAGCATAACAAGAACCCGATCAGTCTTAGCCTGACACGTCCAGGAAGTGGGAGGGATGAGGAATTTCATCCCATCCTGTATTTACTTACCATCCTTCCTAACTGACACACCACTCTGTGCACAGAAACTTCACAATATACCTGTACCATTAGGATGCCTCCACAGGTATGGTCCTATAACAGGATGGGGAACAAGAAGATGCAAAAGAAACCCAAGACATCTTCTTTGCTTTTGGAAAGGATTCACTAGAAGGCAATTTATCAGCACATGTCAATTAATATGCAGGATTACCTTGCTTATTTAAAAGGCCATTTAACTGGTGCCCTTTGATTCCCTGGAAGCTAACAAAAAAACGGACAAAAGACCAAAGGCCTGTGATACCCACTCTGAGCAGTCAAAGGAAGGATTACAGTCTAAGCACTAAAGGCAGTGCATTCTAGTTGCAGGAACGTCCCTAAAGTCCTCTCTCAGTGACTATTTAGTTTTACTCAAGACAGTTGTAAATAACATGGCTGATCAGAAGTTATAAGTTTGAAGTGAACAGGGAGAGCTGCTGGGGGGTGGCACAGTCAAGGCAGTGAAGAGTAATGGCTGGCAGGCTGACCACAAGGGAGACAACACAAACTGTGAAAAGCAATGAAAAGAACTAAGAAGCCAGCAGCTGGGAGCCATGTAGTGTAGGTGCAAACAGCTCTCCATATCTTCACAGATCAGAGGGTGCCACTACGCTGGCATTAGACCTGGTCACAGGTGTTTTTGTTCTCTGGGGATGGTATGGAATGTTAGGTACAGCCAGATGACTAGCTTTGGCCAATGAAATGTGAATGGAAATAATGAGGGTCACTTCTGGGCAGGATCTTTAAGGGCTAAGTGGGTGCTTCACCATGTTCTCTTCCTGTTCCACCATGGCCAATGGCAACATTTCCAGATAATGGCAGCTCTGCCAGCCTGGTTCCCCAAGTGAGGATAAAAATGATGCAGAGGATGGGCTTCCCTGGTGGCGCAGTGGTTGAGAGTTTGCCTGCCTTTGTGGGGGACGCGGGTTCGTGCCCCAGTCCGGGAGGATCCCACATGCCGCGGAGCGGCTGGGCCCATGGGCCGTGGGCGCTGGGCCTGCGCATCCAGAGCCTGTGCTCCGCAGCGGGAGAGGCCACAGCAGTGAGAGGCCTGCGTACCACAAAAAAAAAAATGATGCAGAGGAGAGTCTCGAGCTGACCCACAGAGGACAAGAAGCACAGGCAAGAAATAAACTTTTATTGCTTTTTGGGATTGTTTGTTACTACTGTATAATTGAATCTTTCCTGATTGAAACATCCTAAAAAGTTAAATGAGGTCAGATCACATTAAGAAGTGTGTGCATTATCTTTTTGGTAAATTACCCTTCAATATTATAGTCAATATAATATTGTGTGACTTAAAGGATAATTTTCAGTGAGGAAAATTCACCTACTCCAATGACATCAGATAAATGAGTCATTACCATAACATGAACTGAATAGAGGAGATGGATCCAGTTTCCGAACAACTTCTTTCTCTAGGAAGGGTCCAGGTCTTTACAAAACATACCTGCATTATTTATGGGTCTAAGGCAGAAGTTGGGTCTCATGCTCTAATGCTGTCAGAACTGACTTCTCAGCTTCTGCAGAACCAGCCCCAGGCACAAGGGATGGCTTCTACTGGTTCTGTGATTGCTGAGGGGCTCTGGTCCATGTCTAGGGGTTAAAAGGCCCTACAATATATCTGTATGTGCTCTCATAGAAGGAAATCCATAATGTGTTCTTGAGTAAAAACAGCAAGCCAACAACTTGAGAATGTACAGCCTTATTAAGTATACATGGAACATTTACAAAATTGACCTCACACTGAGGCAACAGGCAAGTCTCAGAATGAAAACCACGTGGGTCATTTTCTCTGACCAAAAGCAATTAAGCTAGAAAACAACAGCCATAGGGTAACTAGAAAAATCTCACATGTTTGGAAAGTAGGAAACATACTTTTAAATAATCCATGGGTTATACATCTTTTCACTTAATCCCCCTAACTATTCATAATGCAGATCCTCATTTTAGAAATGCAGGAACTGAGACTAAAAAGAGAACATAATTTGCTCAAATTTACCCAGCTAGCAGTGGTGAAGCCTGGACTCAAAACCACGCTATAGAACTCTAGAGCCAGGGCTTTAGCGATATTCTCCTTATGCTATGTCTCACTGGAATCCACAGATCCTCCCCAGGTAGGTCCACAGCCTCAATGGATCTGGTGTTTCACCTCTGAGAAAGAATAGCTGTTGAGAGATGAGAGACAGTCCCAGCTTGCTTTGGTGACACTGACCTTGGCCCTGTTGCACAGAGACGCATTTCCTCTCGCTCTTGCTTCCTCTGGGGTCCCCTACTTAGACCAAGGTGAGAGGGGTCTAGAGTAGTGGAGAGGGGTGATTCAGGTTGATGTTCCCAGCAGCTTTGAACTAGATCACTAGGAAGACTTCCTTTCCTTTCAAAGTTTTTTCCACATGGGTACAAGCGGTAAGCAAAGAAAGACAGAAGGAAAAGTTACTTCCAGATGGCTCCCCATCTTGCTGTAATGCAGTTTAAATACAGAAAATATTCTAGGCAAACATATCATTAGGCAAACATGAGTATTAATATCATTCATATTAAAAATGGAACAGAATGGAAATTCAACCTATATCTTGACTTAAATTTGAGACTAAGGCCTCAGAGCCAGAAGACAACTACAGCACCCTGATTCTGAGCAAGCTGGAGGCTCACAATATCTGAGGTAAGAGGCAAGACTTCTCTCTAGGGAAGGCTTCCTGAATTCGAACCGACCAAACTCCCTCACTTTTGTGGTGAGGGCCTGATCAAATGGCTACTTAACAATGTTATTCTCCCTTCTCCACCCCAACCTACGTCTGTTGTTTCCTGTCAAGCTACATTTTCAGCAAAACTCTAAGACATCCAGAGCTTCTGAGGTACCCGTTGTCCCTCAGCCTCTCTCCTTATGCTATCAGGACAATGCTGTCTGCCCCTTCCACGGGCTCACAAGTATAACTTCATCCTGACTAAATGCCTGAGACTATGTTTCATGCAGTGAGAAGGCTTGAAAATAAACAGAAAATCTGATGGTGGTCCATATCCTAGAAAGCTACCTAAAGTGTTTAGAACTCACCAAGCAACCCTGGGGAGGGAGAAGGGGGAAGGGAAGGAAGAAATAGCAGCAGGTTGGGCTAGAGGTCCGGACAGTGGGAATTTTCCCTCCATCCTTTGGCTCCATTTCTTCCACTGCAGAAGCCACACTGGCCCAAGATGAGGGAGTCAGCTGGCTGGGTTAACAGCGTTCACAGTGCTCAGCTTGGGGCTTGGGTCCTCCCTTGCCCCGTCCCACTGCTTGTTCCCCACACCATCAGGGCTCAGTACCCAGAAAGTCAGTTTGCCAATCAGTGAGTGACCCAAGTCCCAACATGAGTTAACAATCAACAAGTCCAAGATCCAAGTACCCGGTTATCCAATCAGCAGTGTGATTACATCCTCTCAATCTGTGCACTCAATGACCACTTCCTGATAGGAGGACATGGGTGTCCCTGGGCAGGCCCCCAATGGGAACTCAGCTCAGTGACCTTTCACAAATGACCCGTTGTGCCTACAGGCTGGACAGATGGTGTGGGGCCCCTGGGGTTAGTGATGGTCCGATGCCTTCAATGAGGTTGTTCCATTCGTCATAGTCCTCGTTCAGGTCTGAATGAGAAAAAAACCAGGTTAGGTAAACAGCTGTAAGGTTAGATCAAAGAGTAGCTACCATGGATTTAGTGGGTCATACTAGAGAGAGGAGCACCTGGGATACTAAAAGGACTGGTTACGGTGGCTGTGATGGTGGAAGAAATAATGACAACTACTATTCATACATGCGCTTCATAAATGACTTGCTTAACCCATAACAACTCAGTAACGATAATAATAACAGAAGGTAGCATTTATTGAAGGATAACTCATTCCAGGAACTTTGCTAAACATGCATTGTTTCATTTAATTTTCATAATATCCCTATGTGTTAAGTACCATATTGGCCCTATGTCACAGTTGAGGAAACTGAGCCTTGGTGAAGCTACCTGATTTGTCCAAAGCCATTACAGATGGTGAGTGGTAGAGACAGAATTCAAACCCCGGTCAGAAAGGGTGAGAAAGTGGAAAGCCCACTTCCAAGCCCATGGAGATTGCTGAGCAAGGACAGATCCTTCACACGCCAACCAGTGAATGTGGAAGCGGGGCCATGTCAGTGAGGGGCAGAAGGCACAGGACAGCAACATCATGAAGCAGCATAACACCAGGTACAATTCAACAGAGGGCCCTGCGACCACGGGCAGATGGACCTAATGACTTGATGAGAACAGTCAGAAAGGGTCCAAGGCCGCAGGCTGAGGGAGTAGGACACAGCTGAGCAGGCAAATGGTGTTTTTGTTCAAAACAAACAAAAAACCTGGGACAGAAGGCAGCGACCACTCTCCTTCAGCTTCAGATCCCCAGGGCCCTGCCAAGAACCTGGCATGGAACAGGTCCTCGGCAAACAGAGCGACATATTCATTAATACAAAAATTACTGAGCACACCACTATGTGCCACAGTTTGTTCTTGATGCCAAAAATACAGCCACAGACAAATAGAAACCCTCATCCTCCCAGAGCTCACAATCTAGGAGGCAGAGATAACAACAAACAAAACAACCTACATAGGATATGAAAAGGTGAGCTGCGCTGTGGCAAAAATGAGAGCCAGACAGAAGCAGTGCTGGTGGCTGGGAGATGGGGGTGACAGGAGGAAGGGACAGTACAATGGTTTTTTGGGTTGTTTTTTGTTTCTTTTAATAAATTTGTTTATTTATTTATTTATTTTTGGCTGTGTTGGGTCTTCATTGCTGCGCGTGGGCTTTCTCTAGTTGCGGCGAGCGGGGGCTACTCTTCGTTGCGGTGCGTGGGCTTCTCATTGCAGTGGCTTCTCTTGTTGCAGAGCATGGGCTCTAGGTGTGTGGGCTTCAGTAGTTGTGGCACGCAGGCTCAGTAGTTGTGGCTCGCGGGCTCTAGAGCACAGGCTCAGTAGTTGTGGCGCATGGGTTTAGTTGCTCTGCGGCATGTGGGATCTTCCCGGACCAGGGCACGAACCTGTGTCCCCTGCATCGGCAGGCAGACTCTCAACCAGTGCGCCACCAGGGAAGCCCCGGAAGGTGAGCTTTGAGCAAAATGTGGAGGTGGGAGTGAGCCATGAGACTACACGGGAAGAACATTTGAGGCAGCAGGAACAGCAGTGCAAAGGTGTGAAGCGGGAGTGTGCCTGGGGTGTGGAGGCTTGTGCAGCGACAGTGAAGTAGGCCCGGGGAGCAGCCGCAGGAGGGACGCTGGGTGTTGGCTTTGTCTCTCAGAGAAATGGGAGCCACTGGAGGATCCTGAACAGTGGAGTGACAAGTCCTGGCTTCCTTTCTGAAACAATCACTCTGGCTGCTTCATTGAGAAAGGACTGTGTAGGGTGGCGGTAGGGAGATGAGTTAGGAAACTCTTAGAGTGATTTAAGTGAGAGAAGAGTTGGACAGGATGGTAGTTGGGGTGGTGACCAGTGATTACTTTCTTTTTTTTTAAATAAATTTATTTATTCATTTGTTTATTTTTGGCTGCATTGGGTCTTCATTGCTGCGCATGGGCTTTCTCTAGCTGTGGCGAGTGGGGGCTACACTTCGTTGTGGTGCGCTGGCTTCTCTTGTTGCGGAGCACGGGCTCTAGGCATGCAGGCTTCAGTAGTTGTGGCACGTGGGCTCAGTAGTTGTGGCTCATGGGCGCAAGAGCACAGGCTCAGTAGTTGTGGCTCACGGGCTCTAGATCACAGGCTCAGTAGTTGTGGCGTGCGCACTTAGTTGCTCTGCGGCATGTGGGATCTTCCCGGACCAGGGCTCGAACCCGTGTCCCCTGCATTGGCAGGCGGATTCTTAACCACTGCGCCACCAGGGAAGCCCCAAGTGATTACTTTCCGTTTGTATTTTGAAGGTAGAGTCAATAGGATTCTCTGAGGGATTAGATGGGAGGTGTAAGGGAAAAGAATAGGGACTTTGGTTTGAGTAACTAGAAGGATGGAGTTACTATTAACTGAGGAGGGAAAGACTGCAGTTGAAAGCCGTTCTTGTGTGTGATGTCCCTAAGAAGTTGAGATGTTGAGTAGTGGGTTATATAAATCTGATGTTCATGGGCGAGATCAAACTGGAGACATAAACTGAAGAGTTGTCAGCACAGATATGGCATTTAAAGCCATGAGACTAGATGACATGAGGAGATACAGGTAGAGAAGCGGTCCAAGCCCTGAGTCCTGGAAGCAGCAAAGCAGATGGAGGAGGAGCAGACACTGAGAGGGGAGGAAATCGCAGGGGGACGTCTTGGAAGTAAAGACAGGGCTTCACAGAGGAGGGCGTCACCAACTCTGTCAGCAGCTGCTGAGGTTCCAGTGAGATGAGGAATGAGAAGTGATCGCTGGATTTAGTGCTGTGAAGGTCACCGGTGACCCTGACAAAGGCAGTTTTCATGGAGGACTGGGATGCCAAAGGCTGACTAGAGTAGGTTCAAGAGAGAATGGGGGGGCTTCCCTGGTGGCGCAGTGGTTGGGAGTCCGCCTGCCGATGCGGGGG